AGTCTCCCGTGTGCGCAGTTCCCCTTCTGCCGCTCAGCCTGGCCGCGCTTGCTGGGCTCCTTCCTCTTCCCCAAAAATCTGCATTTCGGGGTGGTGGCCCTTCTCTGTAGGAACCTCGGAAGTAGCACCATGTTGTGCTCAAGCGAGAAAATTATTTTCCCTGCTATTAAAAAAATAAAAAAGGATACCTGAGGACGTAAATAAGCCTGAGGGAGGCCTTCAAGTCCACTGGCATCGTTCTGGCCACTGCACTCCTGGGGTTCCTGCCGGCCTTGTCCCAAGGCCAGAGGTAGTTCCCGCAGCCTCAGCCCTTAGGTCTCCTTGCTGGTGGCGGGCAGCGGAGGGGAAGTCTGAGGAACTAAGGATACAGAATGTTCCTACAGATAGAAGGGCCAGGGTCTGCCCTGGGCTTATCTCCTGTCATTTTCATTTAGGATGCAAATGTTGAGCACCTACTACGGGCCAGGTACCTGTTCTAAGCTCTGACAACGTAGCAGTGAGTACAGTGGAGGCCAAAATTCCTGTTCACTGGAGTTTGCAGTCTAGGCTAGAAAACAGGCAATAAACAAATAAATATATATTTTTTAATCCTCCAACAACCCTAAGAGGTAGTGTGATTATTTCCATATTACAAATGAATAAATTGAGTCTAGGCACAAAGCAAGGTCCATCCAGACTCATGTTTAAAAGCAGGTTTGTGTGACTTCAGTAAAGCAAGTTGGAGTGTCTCTCAACCCCGATTTCTTCATCTGTAAGAAGGGGGTGAGAATAATGATATAGCACTTCTTCACTAAGCTGTTGGGAACCGCGGGCCTTGGCATTGAACAGAACAGGGTAACTCTGTGAAGGACCTTTGGCTGTGTAGTTGTTGTTGTTGTTGTTGTTATTGTCGTCCTTCCGGGCCAAACCCCTAACCCCAAATTGTGGTGGTGACTGAGCAGCTGGGGCGGCTGCATGTGGAAACTGGAGCTGAAGGGCGCGGCGCCGGGCCTAGCCCTGAGATGACTGCTTCCTGGACAGCCCTACCTCGGTGTCAGTCAGCAACTATGAACCGAGTGCCAGGCACTCAGGGTGTGGGGGTAAGACCAAGGCCACCCATCCTGTTAGGGGGAAGGAATGAGACAGACAAACACCCTTATAATAATTGAGAGGTGCACTGACAGAAGGATCAGGTACCAGGTTGAACACTGGATCTCCAAGCAAGCTTTATCCCAGCCCCAGAGACACAGAGTCCATTTCACTCTCCCCCTGCACAAACACTTGTGTTTATTTTTGTTTTGGTATACTGTTTGCCAGTAAAAGCAACAATCAATACCAGCCCGGAAGAAACTAAACAGAGAGGAGCAATCCTGTAGTGTTATGGCAGGAGGCGAGGTAGCAGAGGCCTGACTCAATTAAGCGCTGTTAGCAGGGATGGAGGAGGCTGCGTACTAGGCCAGCCTGAAGCAGTCCCTCGCAGGTAGGTGCCTCACTTCTTATTCCACAGTGAGTGTCCAGCCTTATAGTTTTCCAGAAAGCAAGCGCCTCCGGATGGGCCAACACAGAACAAACGCAGAAAGCAGAACCTTTGACTGGCTTTTCCCTTCCATCCTCACCGACCAGGATGAGCACCACCTGCACCACCCTGGAGCAAGTCCAGCTTTCAGGGATGCTCCTGCCATCCTCATCTCATCTCTTTCCAGCCAGCGTTAGGACTAGTGCCCTCCCCTACAGTGCTGAGAGTATTTCCCATTCTATTATTTGACCAATTGGCTACTTTTATTTTCCCCTTTTTGGACTGTCTATACTCAGAAGCACTCTCCATATGCAATGACCAAAGCCAGCAAAGGGAAGGAAAAAATAAGCTTTTGAGATACTTGGGTTAAAAATGCCGGGAGTGGTGAGAGTTTGGTAGAAAAAAATCAGTCTCTGCTAATGTTCACTTAATTACACCCAACCATGATTATATTCACATCTGTGATGGAGTGAACTGAGCTGATTCAGTGAGGTAAAGAAGTGAAATTCACCTTTCAGCATTATCCCAGGCAGGGGTCCATATGGTCTGTTCTGGGTTCCCATCCTAACTTAAAGGGAAACTTTCAAAACTTCCAGAGCCCTTGATGTCCTGCAAATGAAAGAGGAAGTATCATCTGTTAATAAATAGTTTATATGGTTTAAAAAAAGAAGAAGAAAGAAAGAAAGAAATTCCTCTGTGCTCTCCCAAGGACTTCGATCTAGCGGAGGAGACAGGACTCCCTTGGAAAAGTTAAATGCAGCATAACACAGAAAGTGTCAGAGGAGGTATTTGAGGCTCAGACTGGAGTCCAGGTTCATTCTCTGCTTCTGGCTTTCGTCCCCGGTTAGGGCATTTAACTTTTCCTCATCCGCAGAGTTCAGAAACTTCCCACAGAGTGCTGGGGACAGCATAGAGGGGGAGATGTATTAACACGAAGAATAGGAAGCCTGGACCACGGGTGGCTCCTGTGAACTAGGCTGTGAGAATGACAGAAAGAGAGCCGCCTCTCTCCTTTAGGGGGCAGACCTGTTTCTCTGTGTAGGGAGGAATACTTGACTCACCTTAGCTGCCTCCTTTTGCAAGTACAGAGTTTGGTGAAGGTCTTTCTATGAGGGGTCCTGGTTCCTGACCCCCGAGCATCCCAAAGCACTTCACGTATGACATTTGGGCCTGATGGGTTCTTTCCGGGCCCGATGCAGCATGTCTACACCTCCCACTCCTTTCTGGTCCTATGAAGGGAAACAGCCTTAAAAGTTTATTGCTCCTTCTGTGCCCAGCTGACAGCGAGGATCGGATGATGAACAAGGTCCTGAATTAGTAACCTGGGCTCTCCCGCCCCACTGCCTAGGCTGGGATCCTCCCAGGCTGGATTCTTAGCCCTCTTCAACCTCTGGGTCTGCATGACCGGGAGCCACTGGCAGAGCAGCTGCCCATCTCTGGTGGAACTCAGAGCCCCACACTGGACAGAGCCCCCGGGGGTGTCGTGGGCCCTGGGGTATGACAGCCTGGTTGGCAGCAGTGGGACATCTTTTTGGAGTGAAACATGGCTGTCTTCATTACATACTGTGGCTGTTCACTGCCGTCTGTAAGACTACAGTAACCTTGAGCATTTGCAGGATACATCTGTCCCATTTAATTATCTCGAGAGGGAAGGGGCAGTCATCCCTCCACAGAAGAATGGAGCCAGCGTGGCGTTAACCGAATGGTGCGTTGACTCAAATCCCAACTCAGGTCATCCCAGCAAGTGGGGACATGAGGACCTGGTGTGACGATTTCTACCCGAGACAGACATTCATTGAGCCAGAGAAGGGGAAGAAAACATCAGGTCAGCAGATCCAGGCCAATACAGGGACATGCCTCTGACAGGAAGTCCAATGCCGGAGAAGCAAAGGGGAGGAAGCCTTTGTGTTAACTGGGTCAGCTTCAAGGCTCCTGTGGCCATGGGACAAACTGTTCTCCTTTGGGACGGGCACGGGAAGCAGGATGGTCCAGGCACAGCTCTGGAGGCACAACGGGGGGTGTGAGGGAGGGCTGGCTTGGCCAGCCTGTGTGATTGCCTGTGTGACCTGGGACATGGGGATACTTGGATACTGAGTGAGATGATGTCTGTGGCCCATAGTAAGAGCTCAGTACAAGATCAGTAACCATGATGATGATGGAAATGATGGGGCCAGGATTTTTAGAGGACATTCAAATGTCCTGAGCTTCATCCTGTCTCTCCATCCAATTTCAGCCACAATCTTCTTGTCTTTTCCCTTCCCTTTCCCACAGAGGGAGAAGAGGAAGATGAGGAAGAAAGAAAGCTGGGGCACAGACAAAGCTGGTGGGGGTGGGGGTGGGCGGAAGGGTTTTCATACAAAGGGAGGGAGGGAAGCCTCTCACTCAGGACTGACCAGGGCCAAGATGGGAGAGACCAGAAACCCCTAGAGGCCAGGCCTGCTGGGAAGCCCCTGCTGTTCAAGGGCCCTTGTGAAGAGTCCCAGGCAGCCTCAGGTCTGAGAGGGAACTCAAGGACCCAGGACTCTGCCCACTCTCACTCTCCCCTGCTCCCCTCCTCCCTGGGTGCACTACAGCACCCTCTGTCCCTAGGACTGGCTACCCCAGCAAGCTTTTCCTTCTGCCTCCCAGAACACAAAGACCCTTTTCTTTCTTTTTCTTTTCTTTTTGATTTTTTTTAATGGATGTACTAGGGATTGAATTAAGCATGCACTCTACCACTGAGCTATACCTCCCACAAAGACCTTTTTCTATTTTAAGAGATTAACTGCTAATCACCAGAGAAAAACCAGGAAGAGCAAGATAACAAATGCTGAGTATTTACAAAGGCTTAAGAACTGTTTTTGGAACCATTGTCCCTAGTTTCTGACCCTTTTTTCTTAGTTGGCAGAAATGTCATGGGCTCTGACCCTTACCAGCTGGTGAATTGGGGCAAAGTGCTTGACCTCTTAAGACCTGGATTTCCCCATTTTAAAGATGAAGATAAAGAGACATTTTTCGCTGTATTGAAAGGACCAAATGAGCCTGAAGTTTGAAAACTCTGCTCTGTAAACCTTCCCCTAGGCCAGGACTTTCCATTACTATACTTTTCATTCATTTATCCTTTGTGTATTTTTATATTTTTACTGGGCTCTTAAAATTACGAAGTTACACAAATTCAAATAATGCAAGGTGTACAAAGTAGATCATGGAAGTTGCCTTTGCTCCCATTCCACTGCCCAGGGATCATCTTTCTGTAAAAT